CATTTTGGTACTTGGTTTGAATTTAGCATTGAAACTCTCCTATTTTCCTGGTATTTGATTTGAAGTGATGTTTACTTTCAAAAAAGAATTTTTAATCATGTATGGTATGGCTTTCAAAACCTATTGTTTAGACAAAAAAGATACAACAAACCTTATATATACTTCTATTTCCGACTTTTGCTAGCATTCAGACGAGCAAAGAAAATATAGGTATGTTTCTTTCTTCTCTCCTTCTATTCTGAACTACAATTTTTTAGTTTGAATGTTGTTGCCTTCTGTTAATTGCCTTCCGTTAATTAAAGACTGCTATATGTTTGATGTTGTGCATAAAAGAATAATTATGATGCTAATTTTTTGCATTAGCTACTGTTTGCTTTTCCTTTGTTTTTAATTTCAAATGTTGCATGATGATGTTAGCTGTTTGTTTATTCAATAATTACATAATTCAGTTGAGTGTTATTTTTTATCTTTCACCTAGCAGTCTTCTCCTCTCATTGTGGCTTTTTCCCGTTTGTTTCCATTTCATCTCACACGAAGAATAGTAGTAGTTCAACTGCTCCTACAAATGGAAAAAATTTCAATCCCCAAATTTTGGCTGGCCTTTTGATTCACAAAAACCGTACTCTATCTCATCTCTCAACCATGTGATTATCGCAGAAAAGATATATTTGCTGATTTGATCGATTTTCCAGTTATGATGACAGATAAGGGTTCTTAGCAATTTAGGTCTTTACGTTTTGGGGAAATATGGAATCAAAAAGGAAACAGACATATTTATCACTCCTTATTTTATCTTGCAATTTGAGCTTTTACTATTAGAAGGAAATAGGAGCAGCAAAATACCCACCTTGCTCTTCGCTGCTTTTTCTCTGGTGCCTCCTTCAGTAAGATAGATTTTTTCTTTACTTTTTGTTAATATCTTTTTACATAACAAATAACAACAGTAGATAAATAAAGAAACTAATGTATATACGTTATTGATCATAGTCTCTTTTTGGATTTTATCTTGGTTGACAAGGTTTTTTTTTCATTTTTTTTAAGTTTTTGATTAGATGTTCTTCATTTGTTATTTCTCTTTCTCTTTTCTTTTTTTTTTTTTTTGAAAAGCTGGTCAATATTATGTATCCTGAATTTAAAGATCCTTCAAAGAAACCGCATTACTCACAAAATAGAGCAATTTTAACTACATAGAATAACTTTGTAGATGAAATAAATGATCAATTGATTGAAAAATTTCCACGAGATTTGACTGAGTACTTAAGTTATGATGAATCGTTGAATCAAAATTATCAGTCTGAATATATTGATCTCCTGAAAACTCTTACACCTAGCAGCTTACCTCCACAAGGTTGCTGTTAAAACCCAATGCCCCAATAGTTCTTTTAAAAAATCTTGATCCTACTGAAGGATTATGCAATGGAACCAGACTCATAATAAAAAGTTTGAGTAAAAATGTTATTTGTGCTAAAATTGCAATTGGTGATTTTTGTGACAAAGAAGTTTTTATACATAGAATTTCCATGCAGCCACCAAGTGATGAACAATATCCAGTTCCATATAAAAAAACGCAATTTGCAATTGTTTGTGCTTTGCAATGACAACAAAGTGATGCTTAAATAAGTATGTAATAACAAGCCACAGTATGTAACTGTGGCTTTATGCTTAAATAACGTGATGCTTTTTGCATCATCTAGGCTTGTAATTCAATAAGCAATGACACTTATTTAAGCCTCCTAATATGTAATTGTGGCTAGCACTCGAGTATGTATTCTACTAAAACATGAATAACTTAGTTTATGTAATGTATGGTTATAATTTACATATTATTTACCTCTTGAACGATATATACATTATGATTTTTTAGCAAATTATCCTCATTGTTACAGCAAAACCAAAAAAACAAAAAATTTCAATAAATAGCAATTTTTTTAATCCATAATTTAGTTGGTCATATCAAACTCATGCTAGTATATATATATATATATATATATATATATATATAGGGCCTCAGACGTCATGGCCGCACCTCCATATTTGACCACAATTGTCTTGCCATGGAACTTTTGTATATAAGGCAGCGCCTCCCAAAGGATATCAACTCTGTTTTGTGCTGACATGGAACGTGCTTCAGGTACAACTACTGGTTCTGATGAAGTCTCGCGGCAGGAGCTCTGAAAACTAAGAGAAGGATTGGTATACATTTTCCTACTCCATTTGTTGATGCCTATGTAGTATTTTGAGGTGAGATTAGCATCAGGAGATTTGGATGCTTTTATCAAAGGGGAAGAGAGAGGGAGGGATTTAGCAGACAGCATTTCTTCTGCCTAAGCTCCTTTTGCGTGGACTATTTGGGTCAAAGCAAGAAATCCAAACCAACCACACTCCGAGCAAAACGCAAGGAACCAGGTCAATGAGATCTGCAATAATAAGAGACTCCAAGTTGGAACAGCAACAATTAAAATTTGTTTTACAACTGCAAAGCAATATAGTTATCTACAAAAAAGCACACAACGTTGTGTGAAATTTGGGACCAGAAAACAAATATAGGATGTCAAAATCACAATCTTTATACGTCAAATTCAGAGCCTAGATTACTAACGAAGAGCTCCACTTACAGGTACCAGGAGGGTGTTGGAGGAATTTTTCTCTTCATAGTTGAAATAATGATGAATTATGGCTGATAACCAAGCATCTTCCAGATTCCAAAAGGTATTATTCGTAAAAAAAAAACAAAACTGCCACTGAGGTTCATATGGTACTAGAACAATTAAAGAACTGCTCAAGTGCAAATCATACAAAAAGTGCAGCAACCAGCGAAATTTAAAGCCAGCAAGAGGGTTCAGGAATTTCAAGATTGTCATGTTTTTGTACCATTTGAAACTCATTTCAAAATATAATATTAAAAAATTCATTTTGGGAGAGCAAATACAATTTTATTCCAAGTTTGCCCTTTTCTTGTGATTTCTTAATTATCATAATACGCCGAATTTATAACTTAATCTTTGCAAATTGATCAATGTCTCTTTAACAAATTTTGTGTCATTGGTTCGGACAAAATAGGTTAAATTACTTAAAAATTATGAATAATTTATAGTACGCTTAAAAATAACTTGCAATAATTTATAACCATGAGAATACCGTTTTGAACTAACTTCAAAATAATACAATCAAGTTTATATATATACACACACACACACACACATATATATATATATATATATATATATATATATTAGCATGTTGTATCTTTTTAGTTATCAATCCATCGATTTGGGAAAAAAATTCAAAAATGTGTAAATGATTTATAAATTAACTCAAAACACTTTAATTAAATGAGAGGAGACGAACAAATCCTAGAGTAAATCGGAAGATGAGATAGTGTACATAGAAGGTAAATCAGAAGGGCAAGCATAAATTGGGGGGAAAATCACTAATTTTTTTGGCCAATAAGAATTTTTTTTAAATATACTTATTAATATTTCGATGCCTTAAAATACCACATAAAACCAGTAAAACGCAGCTATATCTTCTTAAGAAGCATAAGCAAAAACTTATCATAAGAGTAAATAGCCAAACATATAGGCATATAACACTAATATTAAAATATTTAAAAATATCAGCCCATATAATATTAACAAAATTTTCAGCAGATTAATGACACGAATCAAAGGTAAACTAACCTGGAACAAACAGAATTTTTACTGCAAAACCTTTTCTATTTTCGGACCAAAGCTGAAAATTACAAGAAAAAAAATACGGATCAGTAAATATGTTCGTGGTGCAAAAAAAAAAAAAAAAAAAAAAAAGGAAAAAAAAAAAAAAAAAAAAAAAAAAAAAAAGACAAACACTAATTGTGTAGCATTCGTGTGTCTGCCATGCGAAGAGGAAAAAAGCAAACAAGTTTTAAATTTTTCTTTATCATAGACGAATGCACCAAAGGGCAAGAAACCTCTCTATTTTTATTTTCACCTATGAGAAAATGAAATAAGATGTATATCCTATAAGGCTTCTAATCTCAAGCGCCTTTTTCTATTCCTCCGGTTTTTAATACTTACTTCCCTCTTACTAAGCAGCCATCAAATCGAAGCCGAGAGAGTAAAATTTAGAGTCAGAAATTGTTGACAAAGATCTGAAGGTTGAGAAATAAGGGTTCGTACGGGCTTAGTGAATCAGACGAGGGACCATTTTTTGGGCAAAAAATCCCTGAATTTTAGGGTAAAAGTGCACACTTAATCTGTGGAAAAATTTGTGGGTTTCATGTCTGCAAGTACAAATACCTGATAAAAGGAAGAAACTTACAGTGAAAATAAGAAAGAAATTGCGGTGATTGTCAGGCATAAAAAAGGAAGTGAAAGGGGGTGAAGAAGCAGAGAAGCCCGAGAGAGGAGGACACAGAACGCTCGCCGCAAAAGGAGGAGACTGGAGATGATCAACTGCGAGGGGGCACAGAAATTTGCAAGTTGAACTCAGCAAAATCAAATTCTGGGCCTTGCAACCCAAATCAAATTTATGGGCCCAGAACCTAAAATCCAATTAGGGCCTTATAGCCTGAAACTAAAACCAAAAAAGGAAAAACACGCATGATAGCTTAAAATTTATGGATTCATTATCGGACTTTAGAGCCTTTATATATTGTTATTAACGCGTTGTTTAGCCCAAATACTACAAGAATGATTCAGAGCCTGAATACAAATAATTGGAGTATATATAATAAACAACATTTGTGCTTGAATGATATAAACTGCAAATTTGTATCTGCGTAATCCTATGAATTTGTTGTGAAGTTCCGTGATTTATTTGGCCTATATGAAGAAGGTACTCTACTTTGATATAATAATTTAGTATTAGGCCACTTTACACGTGGAACCTATTCCTCTCTCAATCAAAGTACATTTTGATTGGTGATACATAGACCAAAATATGCTATTCGTCTTACATTTTAGTTTCTTGTGGCACCAATATATTACAAGATCAGTCTTAATTCGAATTGGATGGGGACAAATAAATGGTTGTAAAGTTAGTTAAGTATAGCCCAGAGAATACACGTCAACTGTGATTAACTTATTCTGAATATTCAGACACATGTCAACTGGGCTGTTTGCAAATCTTTTGGGTCCAGAGGCTACCAATTCATGACGCTAATATTCTTGGGGAGGTGACCATATTTGATGGCTTTGTAGCAGTGGTTCTCAGGTTTGCCCTTTCTAAGAGGCATCTAAACATGAGGAGGAGCTGGCCAAGTGCAGCCCTCCTAATCATCCCAGTTGGAAGCCAGGAATGTCAAAGCAACCAAAAGGGTGTTGATTGATATGTTTGAGCCGGTCCCCAGGCCGAAAGTGTAAAAAGTTATGAGGGTTTCACTTGGAAGTTTGGCAACTGATAAGCTTGTAATGAATGGCTTTTGGTCTCCATTTCTTTATTTTTCTTTTTTGGGGTGACACTCCTGTTTTCCCTTGCTGATGGGGAAGCAATTGCTTCCCCTCCTTGCTCATCCTCCTCACAGATCTCTCTCTAAAGCAACTCAACCAGAACTGATATCTCCCTTCATTTTTAGTTAAAACTTTCTTGAAGCAGGTAAGGATTGGGAAAGGCAAAACCGGCCCCGTGGGAAGTTGAACTAAAAGTGGGGTTGTTAATGCAGTTGCCTGGATCGAAAAACTCACTCAGGCAAGCAAAATCCATCAACTCTTTTGGTTGGCAAGGATAGTTCTCAAAAGTTAAAACGTAAGTTGAAAGTAGATTCTAAAGCTCATGTTTGAACTCAGAGAGTTTGATTGTCCTTCCTTCATCTGCAGCATGGCCATTGATTGGCAAAAACAGAAAGAAAAATTTCTTAGGAAAAGAGAGCATATAATTTGGTCAACTATTACTAAACATAATGTGTGTTGTCTTTGAGAATAGCTAGGAAGGGAAAGAAAGAAACACTAATAATCGTGTGAGAGTTCAAATTTCCAATTAGTTATATGTTTTTAGGGATTTGAAGTCCAAACATCTTTGTTAACTATGGTCTAAGATATGGCATAATTTTTCTTGCCCCAAAAAGTTAAATTTTATTTTTCCCTTTTAAGTCTAGATTGCCCACTAATGATTCCCATAATGACCCTAAATTGAAAACATTTCTGTTGTTGAAATTACGATTTAGTCATGATGACAGAAAGGAGTAGAATTTAAGAAGCAATTCTCATATTTGCACCAAATAAAAAACGCTTTTTTCGACGAAATTACAATTATGTCACGATGACAAAATTAATACCAATAGATTACAATTCAACATTTTAGCAACTCAAAGTGAAAGCACTTAAACAACATTAAACCACCACTAAAATACTAAAATAAAAAAAAAAACACCTTCAAAATTAATATAATATTAGAAGAATGTTAACATTTTCTCACAAAAGTTAACCCTTTTCTTTTTTTTTTTTTTCTCTTCCCTTATAATAATGATGACCACTCACATCAAGAAATGGCTGGAAATGGTTGCGCGTACAAGACAGGCGACAGCTCAAAGTACACAAGGGGTGGTGCAGTCCATTCCCCTCGATCAGCGAAGCATCCGAACGTGTTGTTGGTCAATTTGTCACATGGAAGGTCGTAGAAATGTTTGGCTGAACAATGAGTGACCCTCCCCAGCAGCACACATTCACGCACTGAAACACAAAGGAAACCCGTGATTTTTAGCAGCAACTGCTGGTGCTCCTGTTCCCGATTGCCAACTGTATATCCAAGTTGTAGCTCTTGAGTCTTGTCTTCTCACATCCCTTTGTCCCTTTCCGGATTTTGACCTTTCCCTTCTTTGATTTTTGAATGACCTAATTGCTTTCTTCTTATGGAAATCATCTTAATAATTGATAACACATGGGGATTTTGTTTCTGAAAATGAAGTGCAAATTTCTTGATTTACTTAAAAATACAAGAAAGAAAGAAAGATAATAAAATAAGTCATTATATCAGTAACACCATATATCTGCAAATCTTAGGTTCTACTTGAACGGTTCTTTTTAAAGTGTTTTTTATTTTTAAATTATTACTATACTCATTTTATCGTGAAGATCATATGTGAATTAAAAATGTAGTTAGGGAACGCGTCAAGAAATTTTTTTAAACATGAGTTTTCTAGAAATACTAGTATATGTGAAACTGATTTTTTTTTCTCCGCTTATTGTTAATTACTAATTTAATAATACTATCTGAAGATATTTTCTATATAAATTTTTATCCTCTCCTTCTAGGAAAAAAATTGATGAGTCTTTTATTTGTGAACTAATGATGAAATTTAAACTTTTTGCTCTCCCACAATCAATTGTTTTCGATGTTGTGACAAATGAACAATCAAGTCAATAACACCAGGGGAGGGAGAGATTGAACAGTACGGGAAGAGAGCGTAAATGAGAAGTTCCGAATTCGAGATCTTCCACCCATACTTGAAAAAAAAAAAAATTTCAATGACACCATCATTTGATGCCACGCTTGGGCTCATGCCCATGGACTAATTGGTTCTACTTACTCATTTGTCGCTGCCTAGACCTGAGTGTTCTTGGACCAGACCTGCCCCGCTTTGGCTGATTAGGTAAAATTAAAAGGTATACAACAATTACTTGTCCAATTGAATATAATGGTCGGTTCGATTGAATTGAAAAGGACAATGACCAAGTAAACAAATGGTTAAAGCTCAGTGGCCACCGGTGGGAGGTCAAGGGTTCAACCATTGCCTTCCACTAAATTGTCTGTCGCTCATGGGTAATTCGATTGGTCTCAACAAACCTTCTTAGGTACTGGTATCCAGTGCCCGCAAAGATCCGAGTCATCTGATTATCGTGTTCGGGGGTGGTTTGACATTTAACCATTCCCTTTCTTTTCTTCCCTTTGCAAAGTTTTCTAAATATTTATGAACTATATATAAATTGATTGAATTATCAACGTAGCTCAAGTGGACAAATTTGTACCCTTAAAAGTTGCACAAGTCCGCTCCTGCTTAGCTTTATGCATTTACAATTTTTTGTTTATAACTAGACTTAATAATTACTAATATGCGTTTAGTCCCTTGTCTTCTCTAATTTTTGCTAGTATCTGTCTAATGTAGCACGTGTATAAATCGTAGTTCTGCCCCAAAACTATCTCGAATTAGCATTATTTGATTTTTATAACTAATGGTGTTATCTTAACATGGCTGCACCATTCAAAAATCGAGTCAAGTTTTTACTAAATTTTTTTTGTTGAAACAAATAGAATTAGAAATTTGAAAAATTCTCGTTTGTAAATGTAAAATAAAAAAAGTCAACGTATAAATCGATCTTATTTTCTCATAAATTGAAAGAATTGTCAATAGGAGAAAGAAAGAGTTGTCCTCTTCACTCGATTTGATAAAACACATTCTATACACTGTTCAATATATAACTTTGCTACAATTGCTTAGACTAGAGTACTGAAATTTGTCCTCAATCATCCTTTTTTTTTTATTTTGTCATCGTCACTTTATCTATACTACTACCCTACTCTAATCTAATCTTAGGGAGAGGTCTAACTAGACCTATAGAAAATTAATGCAGACTAAATCACTATCAGACTAGACAGGTGCACTATACACTCGTATGAATTTTTTGAAAAAATTACATATTGTTGCAATTTTGTAAAAGGTATGCTATTTTGAAACTTACAAGAACATTCAAGTTCCTTTCTGATTGCTTATTCACTCAAGCATATACATTATTCGAGCCGCCAAAATGAGAAAACACGCCTATAAAGATTGTCGCATGGTTATTTTTTCCTTTCTCCTAGTTCAACGGTAACTTCAACTTTATGTGGACGCGAGAAAACGTTACATACCCTTATCAACCGACCCGAGCCTACATTGCTTAGTTCGAGCAAACAATGCACATATGTTCATCTCTTTTTTTTTTTTTTCCCGACGGAATGGGTGTCCGGGTCAATTTTTATGGAGCCCGACTAATCCGACTCCGATCCGGGAGAAGAGGCCCCTTCCCCCCGAACACGATAATCACTGGGACTCGATCTCTGATGGAGAAGTTGGACAACGACTTCCAAGGGACTGTCATGACCAAACGAGCTGCCCAGGAAGAGCGCATATGTTCATCTCCTTGGTCACCACAATTGCTCTTCTTGGAAGAGTTCAAATTGGTATTTATCACCATGGTCAGACTCACCAGCTCCCCAACATCTTCAAAATAAAACGACTTTCGTTTTTCTGTCTAAAAAGTGAGTTCAATTGTCTAGTCACTATTCTTCAACGGTCCCAAGGGCCAGCCACAGAATAAAAATAGTTGTCAAAGTGGGACATCTTTGTATTTTCAAAAGTGCATTTCTGCAATAGATAATTGATATACGCATAGAAGAGCAGCAAACTGCATTAATTTGGCACTGTATGAGATAACCCATGTGCCTTCTTGGTCAATCTGTCACCCAAACGACTATTATGAAAATTGGTCGCAAAATTGACCGTTTGAGGCATTCAGAAACGGATAGATCAATGGATGGTGTTGACTTGATTTTTTTTTTTTCTTTGGGTGGAATTTTTGCTCTTGTCTCTCTGTCATTGGAGCTGGGATTGCATTAGGGTTAACTAGTTGGAGGCAGATTTTTTTATGGGGACAAATTGAAAGTTTACACTTCTGAGTATACAGTTGGTGTTTAGTATAAAGTATAGAGATTTCAAGCTGTCTCATCTGAGATGACAAGTTTGGTGGGAACGAACTTTTTATGCGTGGGAACTTAACTTGCAAGGATGGCATAGGCAAAAATGGAATATTGGAAAACTGGTGACATATTTTGGAAAATTAACTGTATGTCACCAATAATTAGGCTTAATTATACTAGATGCCCCATTTCAAAAGGGTCAGTTGCAATTTCCCCCTGATTATTTTAGTAGCAATTTGCCCTTAGGACCAACAAACCATGATAAAGGTTTCTCATGGCCTAGAAAATAGGTGCCATGCTTTATAATTACTAGTCATTAAGGCACATTTGAGATGTGTCACCTGATAATACTAAAATTATTTACAAAAAAATATTGTGTTTGGGTAGAGTATTATTTAAAATATTAATTGGAATAATTACTATAACATTTTTTGTCATGTAATATATGTGAGATAAAAAATTAGTTGAGAATATAAAAAAGTGGATTGAGAAATGTGTTTACAATGCAAACGAATTATTATTTGGAATAATTTAGCAATCCAAACACACTAGCGTGGCAAAAAATTGTATGGGTTGAACTGATTACCAAACAAGAGAAAAGAAAGAAAGGAAAGTGAAAAGAATCATGGCTAATTTTTTGTTTCATATTTTAACATCTCCACCATAGATTCAGGCTGAAGTATTTTTTATATTTATATATATAACATCATAATTTTATTAAAACTGCCTTATTAATAGAGGTTACATCTAGCATATACAAATATAACAGATGTGAAAGAATGAAATTACAAATCTAAAAATTGATTAAAAAATCATTGTGAAGCTCTGAAAATACTCAAAGATAAAACACTGCATATGTGTATGTTTCAATCCCCAACATCAAATCTACTAATTAAGTACTTGAAACTCCGATATAATGGTGAGATTTGGTGAGATAGATTTAGGTAATCCCAAAACTAACAACCAAACCGTACCAAAAAAAAAAAAAAAAGATCTAACAAAAGCAATAAAAGAGCAAAAAGACTCTCATTAGAAATTCTTAAAAAAGAAGAAACTCTCACCGGAGAGTAGGGCTATTCATTTTGATTAGAAGACCCTAATAAACAACCCTACTCGAACTGAAAAAATACGGTATCCGAACCAGTTTTAGCATGTGGTTCGGGTAGTAGGTTGGGTTGACATGGGTGCGAGAGCAGCGAGACAGGTTGCAGTTGACATATTTTAGGAATTTTGGGTACCTGATTCGAATTAAATATAAGGGTAAATTTGAAAATTTATTCATTAAAATTAAAATTACTAGAGGAGGATCTAACCATCTTTCATCAAAACTTCCATATTTGAGATGTTTTAATTTATTATTTGAACAATAAAAGTTGATAACTTGTTACGCATGTCAATTATATATATATATATATATTATAATTTTTTTTATTGTTGTGAACATATGACATTTTATAAACTTGTCTACTATAGATATGTGAGCATTGATGGATGTATGATCCTTTTTAACAAATGATGTGTTAATAATGAAGTATTTTATATTTTTAGTTAGTTTTCAAATTGTTAATTATTGCAATGTAATTTTTTTTTAAACTTAGGTGCTGAGGTTAGAAGTCTAGATGTGTCGAATATCCCATAATCATGGACCGATTACGGATCAATTTTTTTTTATCGAATCACTAGAATCGGATCAAGTGTGTCAGGCATCCCATAATTATGAATGCCAAATAGTCAATTAGGAGAAAACGAAAGAAAGATGGAAAAGGTACCAAAAAAAATTTGGAAAAAAAAAAAAAGAACTTTCTTGTTCTTTAAGTCAAATTGAAACCTTTCTTCAACACTAATAAAAGCCAACTAGCCTAGGACCAATGGCCTAAATCCCGTTTCCATAACTGGCAAGTGTTTTATTGGTGGGATGCAAATTTCCTAAAGGATCCATGGAGTTGGCAAACCCATTAGAACTTCTTGGTCCCGCTTGATCTCTTTCTCAAAGCTTCTTTTCAATGGAAAAAAAAAAAAAGAAATCATATATAAAGCTATTTTTTTGCTGCTTTTTGTCTGCGTGGCATTTGAGTGGAGCTACAATTATGATTGGTAATTATAGCCCTCGTTTAGATAAACCTAACTTGTCCTTTGTGACTAAGAAATTAATTATGGGGGCTAACTCGCTCTAGAATATGAATATCAATTGTTTGTTAGAGCG